TATATCATTTCGAAACTCACTTCACTTATGCTACGAAACGTTATTACCAATTCAAGGTTGAGCGTATGCCTCTTTTTGAAGTCAATTCGGACACCTGAGAGAATTCGAATTCGGGTTTGGAGTTTTACAGAATCGCAGGGCAGTTGTGTTGTGTGTGACTGTGAGTACATTGAGTGTTGTGTTGTGTGTGACTATGAGTACATTGAGTGTTGTATTGTGTGTAGTTAGGTGAAAATCTAAGATGTCATCGCATCAGTTTAGTGCTCGCGAGTATGTAAACATGGTGTACTGCTATGGTATGGCGCATGGAAATGCTTCCGAGGCTTTACGGCTTTATGGGGCTGAATACCCGAATGCAAATCACCCTCGCGATCCGAGAGTGATCACTCGGGCTACATAGCGCCTTCTCCGCTCCCGAGAGAGGACGACCACGTATTGAAGCTGCGACTGAGCAGGCTATCTTGGACGTAGTGGAGGAAAATCCACGCTTGGGCATTCGCACAGCGGCTAGAGTGCTCAGAAGACGACCTGGAAATCGCGCTCGTCACATTGTTTCTCACTCCACCGTGCTTAGGGTACTGAAAAGGGATAATCAACGGCTCTACAAAATTCACCGAGTGCAAGCGCTTATGCCCGGTGACGCCATTCGCCGCGTGGTTTATTGCACGTGGTTGCTACGTAAAATCGAAATTTTGTCAAAAACATCATGTTCAGTGATAAGAGTACTTTTACCAATAATGGCACGTGGAACCGTTGTAATGCTCACTATTGGTCGTCTCACAACCCGTATCTGACACAAGAAACGTGATTCCAAACCCGGTGGAAACACAATGTGTGGGCGGGCATACTCGGAAACCAAATCGTACGCCACCGAGAATGGATGGACGTGCCTACCTATCACTATTGACTGGCTTTGTAGATGATACATAGGACGACCTGCCACTAGACCAGTGGCGCAATGTTTGGTGGATCAGGCGCATGACCAGCACGATTGCCTTACCTTACGCCACTCGATTTCTTTTTGTGGGGTTACGTTAAAGATAGGGTTTTCGATCGTGCTTGCAAAACCGCTGATGAAATGCGCCGAAAAATCATCGCAGTATTTGAGGACCTTAAACAGCGGGTTGTGCGTGAGGGAATTCTGGAGCGTGTGCTTCAGGACATCTTATACCGTGCTCGCATGTATCTCCATGTGGTTCGTTTGGAAAGGCCATTGGGTGATGTCGACGAACAATAGGTAAGTGGGTACCTACATAGACGGTTGACAGTGTTATCATGTACTGTCGTTTATACACCTTTGTTTGTGTGAGCTACCCGCGCGCACGTACGTTATGTTCACGACGATTTAGGACGTTGTGCTCTACACTGAATTTTCATGTCCGACGGCCCGATTTTTTCAAGTCCGATATGTCAGGCCATATATAGGTAATGCTAATGCTTTGTGCACTGTCAGGAATTTTACCGTCCGAGATTTTACTTTTCTCTATTCCGGACCGGCTTTTTCAGGTCCGCGATGGTGGCAATGAAAAACGTGTTTACGCTTGTGCACTGCTGTGTCCGCGATCCGGAATATTCATGAGGAATAGGCATGCGAAAAAATAATCGATTTGTGTATAATCGATATTTATTTCGGCGATATTGTTAATTTCCAATAAACTTATAATCGATATTTATTGTATATTATAAATTGCTATATTTTATATGATGATTTAATATAGTTGGTTAATATCACTGCATATGCTTTGGCAAACTCGATATAGTTCTAATTTGATCAGCGTATGATACTAATATCGATACTTAGCTAGATTTTAGAATCGTATTAAAAGTATCGATAACTTAAGGTAAGATAAATAAGCCGCCTAAAGAACTGAACCCATCTTAATGGAAATTAATATAGTAAATAGATTTAACTTTAAAAAAGGACATAGGCTACATTTTATCGCGAAAAATAGGGGATGAAAGTTTGCCTGGAAATTTGTCATTATCAAATTTTTTTTTAGACAATTGATAAGTATAGAAAAATATTTGATTACAGAAGTAATAATAAAGAATAAATAGAAGATTAACAGAAGTAATTAAGTGACACTCAATGTCTTTTTCGCATTTAATAAAATTTGAAATTACTGTTTTTGTCATAAATAAATTAAAAACAAAGAAGTATTCTAAGGGAAAATATTTCTGCTCAAACAAACTACACCACGCCTATTAAATTATGCCTATATATAATACAGTCAACTGATCTCGTAAAGTTCATTTAGCATAATAATTCTCCGCTAACACGGCACTAATTTCAATTTGTTTATCTCTGTAATCGCTGAATGTTGTTTTTACAAAACTTCGAAAATAAATAGCACGTTTAAAAATTTAATTATTAAGTACTAGACTATTGTCAGTAATTTTATTCTAATGTCACAGTTATTTTTAGCTATTGTATGTGAATAATGCTGTTCCTAAATTAGTAAGGGTATAAGTTTTTACATCTGATAGTAGTCATCCGATAGTAGTAAAAAAAATGCTTTCGTCTTGCCATAATTTATTATGGTTTATGTAAAACGATCAGATCATTATTTAGGTACCTTTCTACGTCTTCGAACGGAATTACCGACGTTCCAAAAATCTCATCGTACCTAGCGTAAGTGACGTGTAGCTTCAAAGAGAGCTGCCCTACACTGCGCCGCTCTGATCAGGAAAAATGAGGATGAGTAGCTTGTGCACTTGTCCGTTTTTTTCCTGATCGAAGCGGCGCAGTGTAGGGCAGCTCTTTTTGAAGCTACACGTCACTTACGCTAGGTACGATGAGATTTTTGGAACGTCGGTAATTGCGTTCGAAGACGTAGAAAGATACCTAAATAACGACCTGATCATTTTACAAAAACCATAATAAATTGAGGCAAGACGAAAGCATATTTTTTATTACTATCGGATGATTACTATCAGATGTAAAAACTTATACCCTTACTAATTTAGGGACAGCATTATTTACATACAATAGCTAAAAATATCTGTGACATTAGAATAAAATTACTTGATGTTTAAATTTATAAACATGCGATTTTTTTGTGAAGTTTTGTAAAAACAACTTTAAGCGATTACAGAGAGACTAATCGGTGGCGCCATTCGTAAACAAATTTAGTGCCGTGTAAGCGGAGAATTAATATGCTAAATGAACTTTACGAGATCAGTTGACTGTATTATATATAGGCATAATTTTATACGCGTAATGTAGTTTCTTTGAGCAGAAATACTTTTCCCTTAGAATACTTCTTTTTTTTAATTTATTTATGACACAAACAGTCATTTCAAATTTTATTAAATGCGAAAAAGACATTGAGTGCCACTTAATTACTTCTGTTAATCTTCTGTTTATTCTTTATTATTACTTCTGTTATTAAATATTTATCTATAATTATCAATTGTCTAAAAAAAAAATTGATAATGACAAATTTCCAGGCCAACTTTCATGCCCTATTTTTCGTGATAAAATTTAGCCTATGTCCTTTCTCAAAGTTAAGTCTATTTACTATATTAATTTCCATTAAGATGGGTTCAGTTGTTTAGGCGTCTAAGCGTAACAACACTTATTTATCTTACCTTAAGTTATCGATACTTTTAATACGATTCTAAAATCTAGCTAAGTATCGATACTAGAACCATATGCTGATCAAATTAGAACTACACCGAGTTTGCCAAAGCATATGCAGTGATATTTACCAACTTTTTAAAATCATCATATAAAATATAGCATTTTATAATCTACAGTAAATATCGATTATAAGTTTATTGGAAAATTACAATATCGCCGAAATAAATATCGATTTTACACAAATCGAATATTTTTTCCCAAGCCTATTCTTTATGAATTTTCCGGATCGCGGACACAGCAGTGCACAAGCGTAAATACGTTTTTCATTGCCGCCATCACGGACCTGAAAAAACCGGTCCGGAATAGAGAAAAGTAAAATCCCGGACGGTAAAATTCCTGATAGTGCACAGGCTAGCATTACTTATATATGGCCTGACATATCGGACCTGAAAAAATCGGACCGCCGGATATGAAAATTCAGTGTAGTGCACAAGCGCCCTTATTCATGTCATTCCGGACCGGAAAAAATTGGACCTCCGGACCTGAAAATTCAGTGTAGTGCACAAGCGCCCTTACCTTTATATGGCCTGACATATAGGACAGGGGAAATCGGACCGCCGGACCTGAAAATTCAGTGTAGTGCACAAGCGCCCTTACTCAGATTTGTTGCGCGCGTTACATTGCGTGCCGCAAATTATTATTATTTTTTAACATCAAAAATTTGATGTCGTTTCTCAGTTATATTTTTTTTTTATACTTATTTATGTGTATAGAATATACAGTTATCAGCTTCGTTATGATTTTTGTTCCACCTTGTATAAGAACGCTTTGAGGAGATGGCTCCAATGAGCGAGCGTATCAATGAAGAAGTATTTAAAAAAAACACTAGTTCCCGAAATCAAACTAGATGTCGTTACTGTACTTTCTTGATTTCTCCATGACAACTTTTTTCTTACATGTATACAAAACTCAATAAATAACTTATATTCTATTTGTACCTCTTTCCTATTTGTATTGATATCTAAGTTTCGAATTTGAAAATTTCAGTTTTTTAATATGTTAGTTAAAAGGAACTGAAATGAGTATCTTTAGTCCATTCATTTCCTGCAAATGCAAAAATCAACTTCTAATAGTCGCCATGTAGTGAGGTGCTTTTTAGTGTTTTCTTTTTTTTAAATGCCCTCATTGTTTATTATTGTAGTACATTGTAGTATCGTTTACATTAAACGAACGAATGTTCCTTAAAATCTTCGTAAGCTCAAAATCTTAGAACAATTAACGAATGTTCTAAGACTGTTTACACTAAAAGAATTTAATAGAGTGGCGATAGAATCACGTTCGGTGTAAATGGGTCTTAAAAGGATCGCGATGTGTTAACTCACAGCTGTTACAGTTAGTGTCAGATTTTGTTGTGATTGTTTTATAGGTATTTGGAGGAGGCACTTTGGGCACCAGATATTATTTTCAGTAGTTTGTGGTATTACTTAAGTAAAAGTCGGCGATATTTGAAGATTTGCTAAATTATCTAACATTATCAATGGCAGCAAAACAGAGGAATATTTTCACACGAAGTAAACCTTTATTGAATATATATAGTACAGTCGATCATGAGGGGAAAGAGGTACCTAATTTGGTCTGAAGAAATTACTGCATAAATATTAGTCTGTCAATATTAGTAAATTAATATTTTTTTTCAGGTTGAAGTGCGTGAAGACGCGGAACAGTTGGTCAAATGGCACGAAATATCAGATGCTCTAGTGGCAGCCGGTTATTACCGAGCACAACTTCAGGGTTTGTCCGCCTTTGATAAAATTGTGGGTGGACTTACTTGGTGTATAGAGCTTTGTGATATTGATGTAGACATTAGTCTTTTATTTGAGGAAAATCTTACAATTGGAAAAAAGATGTAAGTAGTTTCATAACAATTGGATCTTTCAATGCTCAAACCAATGCTCTTAATTTTAAGTCATTAAAATATTAAGAAATTGTTTCTTTTGGTTAAGAAAGATGAGCATACTATTTGTTAGTTAAATATTCTCTCTCAGTTAAATAGGAGAAAACATTTTCAACAATTTGTTACATCATCATTAGTCTTGAAAAGGTGTTTTGGTATATAAATAAAGATTGAATATCATTCCCTATAAGTGCTATACTAATAGCATACAAATTATCAGCAATGAATTTTTTTGAAAATTATTAATTAAAATATGTATTTTTAAATATTTTGATGAGTAATCAAGAAATAAAAACCCAACTGATTAAAACAGACTCTTTTCAGTGCACTTACAGAAAAAATTGTGAAAGTCTTGCCTAGTATGAAATGTCCATATATAATAGAACCTCATCAAATACAAGGCTTGGATTTTATCAATATTTATCCATTGGTCCAGTGGTTGATTAAGTATTCAAGTGAATTTAGAGAAGCTAAAGAAGATGAACTTAGAAAATTTGCAGTTATGCAATATGAAAAAAGTCATATGTTTCAATCAGACAGAGCCTTGTTCCTTCAGAAAGAGAAATTATTAAGAAATCTAACCTTTGTTCAGGTAGTTTTTTATATTAATCTTGTTATTTTTCACTTATATATTGTGTATCATAATTAACTATCACTTATAACTATTACAGAATTTGTATAAACCATGCAGAGTCCGTAAAAGGAAGGGTGCCCTTCCTGCAAATGAACTCGAACAAGTGAATGCAACACTTTCAGAATATGATCAACGCACCCTTATGCATGTGTCCATAAACAAGGAAAATAATAAAAACGATGAAGGTCTTGATTTCTTGGTAATTATTTGGATTTTCTTATAGTTTTCAAAAAAATTTTTTTTTTTAATATGAAGGCATGAAATTAATCGATATTTATCGTATAATTAATAATTATTTTGCCATTCACTCAATGTTGATATTTTACTCTATGGAATCTGTTAAGTTTGTTACTTTACTATTTGGGAAAAGTATTTTAAAACTATTGTATCATTAATAGGATCAAATCACTATTAAATTGATTTTTATTATAAAAGTGTTATTAAATATAAGGAAAACATATCTGCTGCTCCATCATGGCCGCCCATGTTTCGGTTCTTATAATCCACAGATTATAATTTGCATTTTAATTATGCAAAAATTAAATATACTTACTATTTTTTTTTAAAAACAAAAAATGCTATATGATCATTGTTTACTTATAAGCCACCGTTACATTAACATATTTCATAATTTTAGTTATAACTGTCAATAAAATAAAGTTAATTGATGGTATTAGGTATTATTGTATTTGTTAAAACTTTGTATTTATACCCTTAATAAACCTAGCCTGTCAATACCCATTGAACCTTTTAGATCATTTATCTAACATCAATACTTAAAAGGTAACATTTTGATTATATAACTGGAGTTTTTTGGTAATGATATAAATGTGACTTAAAATTATGTTGTTTTACTTTTTCAGTATGATTATGAGAAGACTCTTGCTGATCCATCTGCAATAACAATAGTGGTGAGATTGTCTTTTAAATTATTATGAACCTTAATGGTTTTCTATTTTGTCAGATGTAAGCATCATAAACTGCGTCCAGAACGAGTGTCGAATTTTACGCGTTTTGTTATACTTTATTAGTTATTTTTTTTGTTCAGTTTCGTAAACTTATTCTCATGTAAAGAATATAATTTCAACTCTTCTTTAACCTGAGTTTTTACTTAGGTTAAAGAATTATTTTTTCTTTGCCAATGGTAGTAGTTGCTATGCGTATAACATCTTTGCGCAATGGTCATTGGTGGTCAACTCGAAATAAACAATTAGTATATGTTGGCAAGTTAGTAAAAAAAACACACATAATACACATGTGTGTATGACTTAATTTGTGATAAATTTGCCTCTTCTGGACTAGACATTAGTGACATAGCACATCTTATTAATATAAAAATATATAGTAACTTAGTTATGTATCTGGCTTTACCTGAACAGATGGTTTTACTAAATCTCGATAATCAAATCTTAGAGATGTTTCATTCTAGGATAATGAAAAGGCATATCATTGTTGTTTAGTTTTATGATTGGTTGTTTTAGTTTATTGCTTGTCAGAAATAAATTTTTTTTTCTCTTTTTTCAGACTGATAAATATGAAAAAGTGGCAGATGTCAATATAGATGCAGCAGATACAAAAATACATTATGCTGTGCTCCAGTCTGAACTAACAGGTGAAGTTTCCAAAGAACTAGAAATGAGTGAGAAACTAAAATACTCTGAAGATGTTGACAGACTCACTAAAGTAATTGAAGCAATGGAAAAAGACATAGAGGTCTTTAAAAAAGATCATGTTCAAAGGATGGAAAATGCCCAGAAAGAATATACTAGTCTGGTGGATAAACTTAAGAGAATAACCTGCAAGCTTATGGGTTCAGATGATCATAGGTATTATCAGAAAGTTTCAGAAACAGTTTTGTTTACAATTACTTTTATATAATTTTAATATTACTTTTTTACAGTGAAAAGAATGTTAAAGAATTTTATAAATCTTTAAAAGAATTGGCTCGCGAGAGACATGAGCTCATTCAAATTTTACAACACAGAGAAAAAGAACACAAAAAACTTGAAGAAGAATTAAGGTAAATTGTATTAGTTCATTTTTAGCACAGCTGTCAGTGAAATGTCTTTTTTATTGCATCTACAATATGAAAATCTAAGTAATTATTATATAATTCAAAGACTTATTCAACTGTTAGTTAAAAAATAAAATTAATAATTGTTGTAAAAGACTCTTACAACACCTATAATTTAATTATTGAGTCATTTTGCATTCTCAATGTTATATTGATAAGAATACTTGCCCATGTTCTAGTGTCATAAAGGATCCAAATAAGGTGATTATAGATCAGCCTTTGAGTCCTGAAGAATTGAAAGAGTTCCACCAACGGGAGGAGAAATTAAAATCGTTTATCACAAGCATGAGATTGGAGTTAGCTAGGTCCAATCGGGAGGTGCTCAGGTATACTATGGCTATAGACGAGGTACCGGGAACCGCTGAATTATTACAATATGAAAAAAGATTTATGGAGCTCTATAATCAAGGTAATAAATTACAAATTAATTATAAAATTGGTGATATTATCAGTTACTATAGACTTTCACAAAAAAATATTTGTAACAGTTTAAATATTTTTTTTACATGAAATTTCAATAGTTTGTTTACTACATATTTTTTACTATTCAACTGTCAATTTGAGGCCAAATGTTAGGTGATGCCTTAACAAACATTGGTTTAGATATGCAACATTTCTCAATGGCTTTGCATGCTTCAGTAAAGTTGACATTGACAATTATGTTGTTTTCATAATGGCAATTGGGGATTGTGTTCAAAACTTTAATTATTTTAGTTTGATATTTGTTTCATAGTGAGCCTTATTAAACGAGCATAAATGCATTAATTACTCCTCCTACAAATAAGACAACCTCTTCATGTGGAAATGATCTTTTTTACATTATCTTGAATCTGGGTGTTGTGGTCACTTCGTTGCCTCAGATACTCCGTAATACGGGGGATTTAGCTACTTATCTTAAAATGTTAGCAATGTGTTATGGTATCTAATATTTATTTATTTTATTAAAAAAAATTTACTGTATGGTAGATGAAGTAACGACATAAGGCCTAAAATTTTTTTTCAGTTGCATCAAAGCACAGAGAAACTAAGCAGTATTACATATTTTATAATACACTATATGAAGTTAAGTTATATACTTCTAAAGAGCTAAGTTTGCTGAATTCTATTTTGGATAATTATGATGAGTAAGTACTGAAACCACATGTATTTTGTTACTTATACCAAAAATTTATCAACAACTCAAATTTCTCTATTATATGTGATCAATTTTGCATTCATATTGATATTCATCTTAAAGAGAAATGCATAAAAAATTCAACAGTCCCCTGTCAATCTTTATTTTAATAAGCTTAATACATTAAGATACTAAAATCAATCATGAAAATTTGTCATTTTATGAGATGTTATGTGCTGCTGTGTGTACAATAATTTTATATAATATTAGCTGTTAACTGGCCCGCGCAAATTATAGCTCATGTCATCCGAGTATAATGCCACTCTCCGTAGGTAAAATAATTTTTAAAATCGGTCCACTAATTTCGGGGCCTCTATGAAAACAATCAAATATTTCTTCTATACACAAATATTAGTATTTATTTCCCAACTAGCTGACTCGGTGAACTTCGTATCACTTACCTCTTAATAAAAACCATATAATAGGGTCATAATTATAATTAGGGTTTCAATTAATAGTGTTTCCGTGCACTAATAACTATAATGGCGACAGCATGTCTTTATTTTTTTCACGTGCTGTCAAGACGAACCATAGATTGAAACATATTGCGTAAACTGACCACTACACGACCATAAATCTGGACCTGAAAAGCATTAGGTCGGATGTGCAGAACCAGCTAAAATCACTTATCGCCATAACGTTGCTACACTCTTTTTTCTCTTTCCGGCAAATTAACTCTTGTATGTTTGTGCCTTTTTACTCATGAGCAACAGTCATGCATAAAGTCGGATCAGACGACTTTTTCAAATATTTTGATTGCATTTAGCTATTTCTGTTTTTATACAGTTTTTATACATCCGACCTAATGCTTTTCAGGTCCAGAAATATTGATCGTCAACTGAACGTTTGACAGCTAAGAACAGTTTGTATGGGAAAATCAAATTGTCGTTTTTAGTATTATACTCGCAATTTTGTCATATTTTCTCATCGTTTAAACCTTCCCATGACTTCCACTAATATTTTAAGACTAAAATTTGTCAAATCAGTTCAGCCGTTCTCGAGTTTTAGCGAGACTAACGAACGGAAATTCATTTTTATTTATATAGATAGGGTAATTTTACTCATTTTTGAAAAGTGTCTCATTTCAATCCTAATATCCTAATGAACCACTGAAAAAAATACAATTTTTTTATTCAGTCAGTAAGTACCATAAAAATACATATAAATTTTACAAATTTCAAATTTCGTGAGAATTGGAAGAAAATGCTGGACGCCTTGTTGCTCTGTAGTTGTGACGTCACTTGGTTTTGTAAACAAACGCGTTGGTATTATCTTAAATTGTTGTGCACTTTTTATGATATTCAAATAGTTGTAAGGGGGCGTCCATAAATTACGTGAGGTGTTTTTTCAAATTTTCTGACCCTCCCTCCCCCCCTGGTGAGATGTCGTGAGATTTTATTCAATCCCCTCCCCCATCCCCAAATCTCACGTGAGATTTTTCAAAATGTGGGTTTCTTATTTAAACACGTTGGATTTTTTTAATAAAAAGAAAAAAAAATAATTCGCTTCGTACTTTTATTTACGACTAGTTAGAGACTAGTAATCAATATTGCTGAGAGCTACAAGTGTAATAAAGATTAAACAATAGAATACTTAATTCGTAACTACTGCGATTAAAAAAGGAATATCTACTCTAATTCAATCCATGGAGAATCATGCACAGTCTCGAGAGAGACTATTGGAACCAGCATGTCCATATGATTTTTAGTAAAATCATCTGCTCCTTCAACTTCGTTCTGATCCAGCCACTCTAAGCCGTTGGCACTTGCGCACAGTAACTCATTAGCTCGTTTTGTGACAATCCGTGCGGGTCGTACTTTGCGCAATATACGCGCTTGCTTAGCTGGTGCAATGTGGGCTGCACGCCTGTGCTCTGCAGCTCTTGTGATAGATGCAAAGTAAATACCGCATGTACTACAGCATCTTTTTTCTAAATCATCATGTACACTTGGGCAATAGAGATCATAAGGCGTGCTAATGAAGGCATTCAGCGGTTGAATCGGTAGGCAGTGGCGTATTAGAAATGGAGCAAATGACTTTCCGTCATGCTTTTTAAAGTCCGGAATTGTCAAGTGTCCATCAACCTGAGTGATAGGGTATGGAGGTGACAGAAAACGGTCGTGAAGAATCATATGTAGATCATATGAAGAATCGAGTAAAACATTTGCATGAATAAACAAAGCAGGTTGGAACCTGTCCGTGTGTCGCTGCACTCAGCTCGTACGCTCTCATTCATCGAGTCACACGTTCAGCTGACAGTGGCGCGAAAACAAAGGACGGGCTACATTGTACCGTAAATTCAAATTAAATTGAGCTATTTGGTATAAAACGAGTATAGTGGTTTGACAATCAGGAGTGATGTATAATGTCAAAGTACGAATGAAATTATTTTCTTTCCAACGAATTAGTGAATGATCTTAACCTTAGACTTGTCACTCTATGAGGGATTCCCCGCACCGAGCCTTATTTTAAAAATTGCGTGATATTTGCCGAGACCCCCCCTATCTCCAACGTGAGATTAGATGAGATTTGACTCGACTCCCTCCCCCCCTTAAACATCTCACGTAATTTATGGACGCCCCCTAAGAATATAGTAATTACATCAATTTTTTAACATCCATAATTCAGCAGAACAAAACATTTGCAGTAAAAAGATTTCCGGCGATAAATGTTTACTATTGGTAATTTTGTGCGATCTTCCTTTACAAAACCCTGTTCTGTGGTATTATTTTAATAAAAATGACTTATTCCTTGTTTCTTCATTAAAATATTTGAAAAAAATTGCCTGTAAACGTATTTATCTTTCTTGAAATTTATTTCTCTTGTTAGTTTACAAACTGGATGACGTCACGTCATGGCGGCTACTGATTCACGTAATAAAACCACAGACTAAAGATTTGGAAACTTTGAATTTTAAAAATGTTTTTTATTTTATTGTATGTACTGAAACTAACATATTCTGACTTATTGCTTAAGCTGTCTCAGTTGTATACTTTAGATTTTTCTCGAAATGACTAAAATACCATATTGTGTCAGTGAATAATTATGTACATTTTTTTATTGATAATTAATAATAATTTAATACATTACAGAGCTATGTCTTCAGCTAGATCAAGAGAGGAGTTTATGACTCAATTCGAGTCAATAGTGGAATGGGTTAATCAAACAGTGAGAAAAGTAGAAGAAAAGTATCGAGCTGAGAAAGAACGCAAAACAGCTCTCCACAAAGAATACTCATATCTACTAGAAATCCAACGGCAATATGCAGCTGCACTCAAGAAGTTGGCTGAAGAAAGACAAAAGATTAACAGGGGAAGACAGAGTTGATTTGTTACTTATTCCAATGTGAACTTTAGTGCAATAGTCTTAAAGGTGTTTATATAAATTTTATATTTCTAGTCTCGTACGATGGTTTTTATACTTTTGTATAAATGCATTTTATGATAACGTAATTATCATATAATTAGTATGAGACGTGAGTTTTTAAGGACGAACAAAAAACTATTCTGATCGACTATTTGGAAGGTATGAATCCTTTAAAGCCGATTTGCATTTTTTCAATAAATATGCGACAGGTAGATATTCTTCTAATGATTTACGAGCAAATATATCGATTGGCAAAAAAATGTACCACTTCAATTTTATCATTGATTCTTTTCTTTATTTTTAATTGGTCTTGTATAATATAAAAGCTAAATAAAAAGTAGGTTAATTTAAAAAAAAAAACACGCAATCAATAAAAATAATATTATTTTGAAACACTATCACAACGCCAGATTCGATAGATGGTCTATTTTATTGGTCACTGGTATATTTACCCAGTTTTTTTTTTATTGTTTAAAAATATTTATTATTGATGTTTGTTTTATGTCTTTGTTGGATTTAGTTGTACATAATGTGCACGATGAAAGTTTACTATATCAACCAAGATGCAGGCAACATGTTTTTATTTATAATATTTGGTTAGGCCGGTCCATAATATAATTGCTCAGATTCTTTCGAATTGTACAAAGTTAATTTATTTTAGTTATTATAAATGTGAATGAATAAAACATATTATTTAAATATGTAATATTTAAGTTTTACAATATTTTAGCTGAGTTGCAGCTGCAAAATGCAGTATGCGTAATGTTATCTATTATTTATTAAGACTGAATATAGCTTACTGTATTGTTTCATTTAAGAAGTTTTGCTGAGTAATATAATTTTGTTTGAAATAAAACCAAAACACATTTGATTATTAATTTATTGGACAACTTACTCTATAAAAAAATATTGATGGTTTAAAAAAGTGATTTTATACATTCTAAAAAAAAGGATTAAAACTCTAAATTGAAATCTATGACTGAATTTTGGAACAGATGACGAAAATGTACCACGTCGTTGCTTACAAGAGTAAAATATTTGTGGTTAGAGAAATAATTAATAGTATCCACAGATAAGTGGTCATTAGACATCAATTCAAATGAATAGGGAATATGTGCATGATCCCCATAGCGTTCTTTCGAGAAGTTTATAGTATAGTAGGGGTTTTTCCTTAATATATAGAGACAATTTCATATGTTGTGTTGGCTTGATCTTAACACTACGTAACAAGTAAGTTCACATTAATTACATGAGGTAATGACTTAGAACTATAATACTTATAGCTACGAAACGTTGTAGGAAAATAATCACCCCGCACAACTAAGATGGTATAATTACCATTGGCTAATTGGAATAAATGGAATATTACTGATTGATTAGATTGACTTTGATATTTTTTTTTTAAATATTAATGTCCACAATCGTAGGTGTCTAAAACTGGCGGAAACCAAAAGAATACAACACCATGACAAATGTTATGTTATAATCGGGAATATGGACATTATGAACATGGATAAAATCGATTTATATTATTTACGAATAAACACTGCTCAAAGCGTAACCACGCTGCTATGTGAATGGCTCTTATGCGAGCTAGAGTGTGTGTGCCCGTGGCTATGACTGTGCGTATGGGGGCTACTCTTCTTGTATAGAGTGAAGGAGACCAGCTCGCGGTTGGCGTTTGTCATCGCCATCGCGTGAGACACCACGTCGTAACCGAGCAACCCGTGGAGGCGGTTCACAACGAAAAGCGTTAAACCTTTTTGCGTCACACGCACTGTCCTCTCTTGGTCCGAAGATGTTGCTATCGACATACCAAAAGCGGAGTTCAATTCCTGCAAATAAAGAAGTTTAATTTTACAAAATCATCGATTAATATATATAGGTAAGTAGCTAGCTATTCAATTATAGCTTATGTCACCCGTGTATGATGTAGCTTCCCATACGTGAAAGAAATTCAATATCGGGTCAATATTTCCGAAAATTATATCCTAAAAAAAAAACAAACAAACAAACTTTACCCTTGAACTTTACTTTACCTTGATAAATGTTTTTATAGTTATCATTTATTAGCTTTTAGGTATCTGTGCTTTGAGTTTGGAATTGTGGGTTAATGAAATTTTAGACCATTTTGTAAAATGCTTTTAAGGGTATAACAACAAACATAATGTGCGGTGGGTCATCCATAAGAATTCTTCTTTTGCTATATGTACTGATAAGACTGGGTCTACACCCATTCATACCTACATATAATTAATAATTTCACGTGCATTCTTTTGACGACGTCCTTCATAGCCGATTGTTTCGCACGCCGGTTTTAAGGTGTCGCCATCCATGAGGTCGCTGGTTCGATTCTCGGTCGGGTCAATGTAGGAATCGACCTTTCGAAATAAGTCGTCTGGGTTTTTGGTGCCATTTGTATCAAATAATCTAGAACACGAGGGCTTTAGCTATTCTTCTTGGAATCTGATGTATGTGAAGTTTTATAATAATTATTTATTTTACGTGCTTATTACAGATCACCAATAATTAAATTTATCTTTGATACTGTCAATAGGACGAAGCGGCTTAGTAACATGTTTTTTTTTTAAATGGTTGTAGGCAAATTCAACTCCTGTGGTCGAGTTCCGATTTCAAGGGTACGGAACTTTCCTATATTATGTCCACTCTGGGTGTTGACCACAACTAAAGTACCAATAATATTGTAATATGTGGTACCAACGTTCGTTGTGTGCTACTTATCTCGAAATCTAAGTAATGTATGTGATCACGTGTTTAAGTTGGTTTGTTTGCATTGAATAGGCTCTCTAAATATATACTGAACTGATTTAAAAAAATCTTTTACACGTGTATATGAAGCTACATTATACGCAGGTGACATAACTAAGCAATAGTTTATGCGGGCGAAGTCACAGGAAAACGGCAAGTTCTAATTTTACAAATGTTAAAGAATCATGACCAATTTTGAACTAAAATGTAGTCTTCTAGTGATGTGACATATCTCAAAGTGTAGCTTATTTTTTACTTATTTCATATCAGGAATTTTAAATATTAATATAAAATCAGGATATAAATTTCGAGGCTGATAATTATTTTTAAACAGTATTATGATAGTAACTACCCGAACGCGATTCGGACCCTAAAATGATCGTTTGCTACACTACCCCAATGTGATTCGGACCCAATGACGGTTTGTTTCTATGATAACGAAAAATTAATTTCCATATTTAAGACTCAAACTACAAAAAAGATTTGATTTTAATGCATTAATTTTTAAATTAGCTTCACAATTATCTCGAGTTTTAATAGCTATTACCTTAAAACATTTGCAAATTACAAATTCCTCTGGTCTCCAAACAAAAAGATGCTAATATAATTATACTATTTTAAGCAAAAACTAATTTAATTATCAATAATGGTGGGTAGACGCGACCCTTTAAAAAAAACATGTGACAGGTCAATTAATGTATGGAAAATGGACATGATTCTTTTATGGAAGCATAGGTAGGAACTACAATTGGGAAATTTACAAATCATTAATTAATTGATCTGTGGACCGTTCCTTTGTAAATAGTACTTATTTTAGTGTGAATTTGTGTCGGTAGATATTATAAAATTAAAAAGGATTTAATATAATCTACCTTTATATTGGATACCAGATGTACCTGCGACTTTTTAAAGATTAAAACATTATAAAAACCGACAGACCTAAAACTTAAAAAAAATATTTTGGTATATGTACCGTGTGTGTAAAGCGGTTATTATAATATTACAAATAGACGCTCCAATTTTATTTATTTGTATAGATGTGTTTTCAAAAATTTGCTACAGTGTCAATATATCTTTATTTCATGTTTCCATATGCTTTGCCATGTTAAATACATGACACTGTAGTACCTATTTACGTGTGACATAGATATTGAAGTTGAGCTGGGTATACTTATTTTTTACTTGGGTATTTTTATTTTAAATTACTGATAATTTAGAGATTATCCCCTAAGACACAATGATGATTCTTAACATTACAACGTGATAAGATAATAGATAATTAAAAATATATTACCTATAGGTAGATACAATATTATAGAAATTCATGATACAACACAAAAATTTACAGCTCACCATTGACAAGCATTAAAACAAAAGGTATTCTAGTGCTATATTTTAATTAAGGTTAATTATTTATATTACCCGCACTAAGAGCACACGTTCCTCGCTTTTGAGTCCGTAAACTGTTGCACCTTCATCCTTCGAGAGATGAGGCGCGCTAAGGCTGCCCATTACCATGATGTACGGCATATTGTTGATGTTACACAGGTGTTATCCACTTAAATATAATTACCGACAAATCACCGGGTGCATTTTAATTAAAGAGGTGTATTGATCACGCTATGACTTCGCGACAGGTTGTGTCGCCACTAAATGTGAGTGAACTCGAAACTACTGCGAGAGGCTCGCATACGTGTTCCGTTCACAGTGGTCTGGATGTGTGCGTATGCACTGAACTTATGTTGTGGCTATGTGAGTTGCACGTGACGCAGACTGGCACATGGCCTTCACGGGTGCTTGCTCTTGCGCACTGCCTGTTCAGAGCTGGTTACACGCTTCATGTAACAACAAAAGCACCGCGAGACTAAGATACAATATAATCATGTATCTGTTAGTTTAATAAAGCTTTTACAATATTTTTTAATAACGTAAGGTGTGCATTTGTTTTAATTAACCAATTTTAACACAAGTAGGCTCCTAGATTATTTCTCGTGGAAGGTAGATAACTCTAGGTTAACTCTCAGCATTCCAAAGAAAATTTAAATAAAAAGTGTTTTTATATAGCTTTGTAATAAATAACGTTTGAACGCCATAACCATTTACTATTTAATTGCCTACAAAACATTCGTATGTTACTTTGGTCCAGGCCCGAATCTACGATTTATTCTAACAGGGGCAGAAACTTCACATTGCTTCACATGGCGCCCTTCCTCTAACTACGCTCCGTGTAGTCGGATTTTATATTATATTTTTTTGCTATGTATGATATTTTTCTTTTATTCCATTTAGGGATTATGAATCATGTTCGTCCTATCGTAGTCCATAATGCGTATGAAGAGATTTGTAAAGTTCGTTATTTTTTAAAGTGTAAATAGGTATTATATAATGTTGATTTGGCGCCCCCTACCACCCGCCAACCATGCACGTGCTCACACGTGCCCCCTTCCCCTTAGATCCGGACCTACTTTGGTCCAACCACGGAAATCACGGATTCGAAACCGTGTTGCAAATATTAGCCTGAGGCTAAAATTTGCGACACGGTCTTTATTTTATCTTGCTTTAATCCTTAAAATTATCTCTTATTTTAAAACGTGAACGATGTGTACCTCTTATGTTCATAAGTTTTGAGACGAAATAAAACATGCTTTTTTAATAATTAACTTATATTTCAAAAATTTTCGGTAACCTATAAATAGATAATAATCAACAATAAAATACACATTTTATTCAAAATTACCGCTCTTGTTTTTAATACATGCCCTTAGACGATTTAGCCAGTCATCAATGGCGGCATGAATCTTTTCTAGCGGAAATCCCTTTGCTTCTCGAACAAGGGTTCGATTCAGTGACTCCAAGTTTGGGTGGGACTTACGGCAGAGCCTGAACTCTAATTCAGTTAATAATCCGGAATATAAATTTTAATTTAAACATTGATAATAAAAAAGTAACATCAGATCTTGAAGTTGCTACAGTATTTGAAAATTTATTTACTGAAATTCCAGTCTTAATTACACAATCTTTGAATTCCTCTTCCACTGTTGCTGAATCTATTTTAAAGGCAAGTTTAAATAATTCTAATAGCCAATTTAAGTTTCAACACATTGATTTTAAAGATATAATAAAATCTTTTAATCAGCTAAAGAAAACGAAAACTGCTGATTTATGGGGTAATTCCATTGAAGTTTCTAAATCGGTAATTGAGACAATAGCTCCAATCTTAGCTTATATATTTAATGAATGTACTGATTGTGGTATTTTTCCTGAGCTCATGAAATATAGTAAAATTATTCCTTTACATAAATCGGGTAGCACATCTGACCCTACTAACTTTAGACCTATATCCGTGCTACCTACGTTTAGTAAGATTTTTGAAAAAATCATGCTGGATCAAATACAAACGTACTTTTACAAGAATAAGCTTATGAATCGACAACAATTTGGTTTTACAAGGGGTCGCTCGACAACCGAAGCCGGTGTCGAGTTAATACAAGAAATTTTTAATGCCTGGGAGGATTCACATGATGCGTTAGGTGTTTTCTGTGACCTATCTAAGGCATTTGATTGTGTTTTTCATGAAACATTGATTAGAAAACTGCATTTTTATGGATTTAGAGATAACTCATTGGATTTTATTGTCTCATACTTGACTGACAGAGTACAGAGGGTTGATATCAATGGCAAAAGATCCCCTGGATCGAAAATTAAGATGGGCGTTCCGCAGGGCTCAATACTTGGTCCTTTCTTGTTTTTGATTTACATAAATGACTTGCCTTATTTCGTAAGGGATGATCACGAAATAGTTTTGTTTGCGGATGACACTTCACTCTTGTTTAAAATTAAAAGAGGGTTACCTCTAAATGACGATGTGAACAATTCTATCGCTAAAGTAGTACATTGGTTTAATGTAAATAATCTTCTCCTTAATGAAGGAAAAACAAAATGCTTAAAATTTGTACTACCTAATGTTAAAAAAGTAGATATAAATGTTAATGTAAAAGATAAGAACATGGGCCTTGTGGATACCACAGTATTTTTAGGAATAACATTAGATTCTAAACTACAGTGGGGCCCACATATTGATAGATTGTCGAGTAGACTTAGCTCTGCAGCATATGCCGTAATGAAGATACGTAGGTTAACTGACATAGATACTGCCAGATTAGTATACTTCAGTTACTTTCATAGTGTTATGTCGTACGGTATCCTATTGTGGGGAAATGCTGCCGACATACAAACAATTTTTGTGCTTCAGAAAAGAGCAATTCGATCAATTTATAATCTTAGGATTAGGGACTCTTTAAGGGAGAAATTTAAGGAAATAGACATTATGACTGTTGCTTCTCAATACATATACGAGAACTTAATGTACGTTCGTAAAAATATTAGTTTGTTTTTTATAAAAAGTGATGTACACAATTTTAATACAAGAAATAAAAATAAATTAACGGTGCCTGTCACTAGACTGCAAAAAGTTAATAACTCTTTCAAGGGTCTTTGTGTGCGCTTCTACAATAAGGTCCCAAGCAAAATACAACAATTAGATATCTTGCAGTTTAAATCTACTATTAAAAAAATACTCATTAAAAAAGCTTATTATAAGATATCCGATTATATAACAGATAAGAACGCTTGGACTTGAAATGATCCAGCAACTGGATAGGTGATTACTTCTAAACTCAATATCTTGTTTCCATTATTATTAAATGATTATGTTATTATTATAAGACCATAGTTTTTTTTTATCTCTGTTTATAATGTATTGATCTGGTAATGACATGGTTTTTGTAAATGTCATTACTCATATTAGAGCTGGTGAGTTTCTTGCTCGTTCTTCTTATCAGCCAAAAGACGTCCTGAACGAGTGGTAGGGAAAAAAATGTTGGACGATTCAAAAGTACTTTTAAGAAGTTTATTTGAATAAAGATTATTTTGACTTTGACTTTGACTTTGTTCATAAAGAATAATCCAGCCTGCTTGAGGTTGGGGTTGGAGGAGGGCCACTCGTCCGCCGCGATGAAGGCTGGCACATTCTCCCTCAACCAAGCTTGGGTGATTTTTGCCTTATGGGATGGCGCCGAGTCTTGCTGAAAAACCCAATCCTTATTGTAAAATAACGTATCAGACAGGGGTTTCACCACGGGCTTCAAAATGTCACTGATAATTCTTGGCTTTCATCTTGACTCCTTGTCGACAGAAATGGAGCGAAGTAACACCTTCATACAAAACTCCCCATCATACTATCCCACATAGCCGGATGATGAGTGCGCGAGACATTCCGTGCGTAAGTTGGGACATTCTTGCTACTTTTAGCGTACACTTTATTGTTTTTTCGGTTGAACTTTTCTTTGACAGTAAAAATTTTCTCGTCGGTGAAGAGTATCTTCCTGGCATCATGTCTCGTCAGTAGCAATGGATAACGTTGGCGTCGTAACTTACGAAGACAATCGTTTAAAAAGTGAACTTTTCTAAGGCTATATGCCTTTACCTTAAGATCATATTTCAGTATTTTGTTCACCGAAACGCGCGAAATATTAGACAGCAGAAAGAGTTTCGTCTGAGTGCGACATGGATTTCGGCGAAGTTGCTCTCGGGTGATTTTGATGCTTGCATGCCTCCTCATAGGGCGTGGCCTACATCTTTGGCGATCTTGCAGAGAACTTTTGTATCACTGTATTGTGTAAAAGACGAAGTTACTTACAGGAAAACTTTTCAGCTCACGGAAAATCTGCATCGGTTTTTTTCCCGCCATAAATAGCGATATGACAGTTGCACGTGATTGTTTCGATCACTCCATCACGAGAAAATATAAATAAATGAATTTGCGATACAAATTAAAGATAACATACCAAATTCAAAATCGGTAAAGAAAATAACAGCCAGTAACATTTAATTTTTTAAGAAAATGTTTGTCTCAAAACTTATGTAGGTATCTAAAGAGGCAAAAAATTTTAAAGGCATTGTCCATGTTTTTTATGAGTAATAAATGACAATCGTATTGTCAAATCACCCAACTGACAAATAGAAATCTTTGAAAACGTATGTAACTGAAAATAATAAATACATATTTACTTTTTCTACGAACTGCAGTTGCTAGATTTATTATTATGAGTCACTCCATGAGCAGTCCCAGGAACATCCAATTAGGTACTTATAGTTTAATAGTTGTTAAGATTAAATCTTTTTAGTGAAAGATTATTATAATAAAGAAACCTTTGTTTATAATTGTGAAACTTTTAAATCATGTAGAAAAATCATCAATTTGCTTTTGAAGGGACATTTTATCTTTAAGAAATACTTAGTGTTTAAACAATTCACCAGTCCCTGGATCCATTCTCGGCGATTGGAGCTGATGAATTTGTAAGTTATTTTCTAAATATAAGATAGGTATTGATATATATATCTATAGCATTGTGAATGCCAAATTTATCAAATACTTGGTACTTGATAGTAAAACGAAAGATAAATGTCTTCATTAGTAACGTTTTAAAATATCATCGGTACTTTTGAGTAGATCGATAACAATCAAACTTTGTACTTGTTCCAGTATTTGAAACGTACCAGAAAGCACGCCTGGTATTTGTCCAAACAATGGCGGAATTAGCAACAAGAGCTACCAATGTGAAATGTTTAGAGAGCGCTGGAGTCCTTGGTCAGAATAAATATTGATTCATAGAAAGTATATTGCCAAATTATCAATTTT